TACACTTACATTTTTAGATTAACCCTCTTTCATACCTTTATCATAATTAACTCTTTCTAAATAAGATATGAATTAAACTGGAAATTTTTTAATGCAAAGGCCACAAATTCTACAAATTAATATTCATAAGGTTTTTTGAAGAACTTAATTTCCTCTCTGTTGAAATTTACATCAATATGTTATATTGAAGAACTTGCTGGTTTGTTATTATGGTGATGTGTATTGACTGATGCCAAAAACAATGTAGTAACATTAGTCTATTTCCCGAAGCTGTTTTAAAAACAACCGTGCCTCCAATAACCCACTTCTACTTCTACTGTTACAGACAGTTGCAACATAACCTTTCCGCCACCCTCAGGTGCCACTACTTTAATGTATTCACATCAGACCAATTAATAGAGAATCAGATTTTTTCATTTTCAGGCAAAGTTTTCCAAAATCGTTTCAAATATCCATGCAACTTATTCCCTCCATTTTACCCTCAGACAATTGCTGCATAAACGATTATAAATCTTCAAAGTCCTCCAGCTAATAGGTTTAGCTCCAAATACCATCATTGATTTTCACGAGGGACCACTTTTGGCTCACTACAGTGCAATTTCTCTGCTCTGTGTGTATAATACTTATTTTTATAGAGTCAGATTAATACAGGGCATAAGGGACAGATCAGTTCAGTCTTAATCTGAGGTACATCACTGTGAAGAATGTATGTACGTGGGGGTTTTGGGGAGGGGTAGGATAGAGACCAGGATGATGGGAGTTGAGGAATGATCTTGCACAGCGACGCTCCATAAATCCCGCTCATAATTGTTTCCCTACTTGGTGTGCAGTCTTGCTCCATAAAGGTGCAAAGCCAAGGGTGCTTTAAATGTCAAGGGAGCGAAGCTCTGATGAATTACCTTTTAAAGATATCACAGAGAAGCGCATTTCAGGTGAAAGATGGGGCCAGGCTGGTGCTCCTAGGCCCTGTCTGACTGCACTGGCACACCCCTCCCACCACCACCACCACCACCCAAGGGAAATTTGTCTTTTTATCAACTGTCCAGAGAAGTCACAGCATATCCTAACTGAATAAATCAAAGATAATTAGTTTTCTGTGTTGTCTTATCTCTGATGTACCATTTTTTTCTTCAGAGATCACCTGCAGATATGCATTCCGGTGAATGTGTGTGTTTTGCCAGATTAGCCCTAACGTTGTGGTAGGTGGCTCCAATGTGACTGTTTTAGTTTTGGCTGGCGGTATAAACACACATGGACCATCTTTTATCTCTTTCAGCCGTCGAGCACAGACACACAAACACTAAAGAATATTTAAAATGTTGTGTTGGGTTAGTTAAGAACACTGCAGAAACGTAGAACCAGTCGAATTCTTTAGATTTTAGGCTACTTTATGGTAATGTTTTAAAATCTTAAGCAGCAATTCCCCAGATTTTAAGAACCCCTTTATGTGTTTTTTGAAACATCTTTACTGATTTTCTGTGAAGTACAATTGTTTTATCTTGTTTTGAAGGCTCTTATTTCTAGTCAATAAATCCAAAGGATTATCAAGGTGTGGCAAAGATCCCCTTTTTAAAGAATTACCCCAAAATAATTTGTTAATGTTGATATTAAATGGACAGTTTAGGAATAATCTGTCCAAAACTCAGCATACAGATAACCAAATGATACAGTTTCTAGGTTATGTGTCTGGTTTAAACTGTAGTTTGTTTTGTCTGTTTATATAAAAGCCTGCATTTATAACCCAATTCTAATACTATTATTTTATTACAGTGACAAATTCTACCATTTTACTAAATAGTATGAACTTGTGTTTATACAGTATTGTATAAAACTGTAAATATTGGTTAAATCATGACCATCACCTGCTATAAAATGCAATATGCACATATAAGTTTGAATAGTTTACATCTCAAATGTCACTGTTTCAAAATGCCTTTCAAATCTCTTTACTTCCAACCTTCTGGTTCTTCCCGCCATCTGGTCTCTTGGCGAATGTAAAGACTAACTTATGAAGGATACTTTAACTCTCATGCTGGTCCTTTGGAAAGTATTTTGCAGCATCTTTGGCATGAGGCCTTCTGATATGAATCATCAAAAATCACAGAAGCTAAACTTCAGTGATCATTTTGTGAAAATAGCCAAAGCAAAAATATGGTTTTAGGATTAAGTTCTAGTCAAAAGCTTTTAAAAAGTGATGATGAAAATGTTTCAATTTAGGAAATATGTTCACTTGGTTGTTTTATTCCTCTTCTGACTTTGTGGGCAAGATGTAGCTTTTTTTCTTTCTATAGTGCAGCTAATCACTCATGTTAATTTCTTTCTCTCAATCACCCATAACACCCTCCACAGGGTTTTTAAGGTTTTGGTAACTTGTACAGCTGCTTCTAACCGCCTCCGTTCTTCCTTTGTGCTTTTGTCTTGAAATTTGGAGGGAAAACATGTCGAGGAGCTCCCCTCGGTGATGGCAGCAATTTGGCTTTCACACACTCATGTCCTCCAGACACTGTTTGGGCTGAGCTTTGTTGTTGTTGTGCTATTTTTTGCATAGTATTTGATTTTGCTCTTTGATAGACAGTAATAACACAGAGCTTTTGTTAGGAAGTGCAATTTTTTTCAAAGGCATAATATAAAATGGCTTCCTGTAGTGTTAAACATAAAAAAATGAATATTTAAAAAATTATAATTTACAGATTTTCTGGTTGATCATTTTATTTAAATGTGACTTTCCAATTTAAGAGACAAACAGAAGGAGAATTTGTTTCCTGCTTGTTTCTTAGCTCTCAACTAATGGCTTGTTAGAAACTTTGCAGTAATTGGAAGCATGGGAAAATTGGATAATGATCGTTTATTTGTGTAAAATTAAAATGCAGTGTTGAGAAATGCTGGACTTGTCTGTTCTGAGGCTTATCTAGCTTTGCTTGGCTGAGTAATTAAATCAGAGGAGCGAGTGAAGTTCTCTGCAGCTCAGCGCCTTTTCTTGTTTCCTCTTTAATCAGGTGGCTATTAAACCTCTGATTGCACTCCCCATCTTCTGACTTCAGTTTAGCTATTAAACACAGACTGAATGCATTTCATTGTGTGGATATGTGTGTGTGTCCATTTTGCATGTTGTTTAAGGATTTTTTTAGAACTGCAAAAAAATAATTGAGACCACAGGTGGATGCAAAATAAGGAGTGTGCAAAATGCAAGTCAGACAGTTGTATTCTGTAAACTTTCCTTTATTCAATTTACTGTTGAACATTTGAGGAGTGCACAACTTTTTTTAAACTCTGATGAGCGATACCTGCTACCTTAAATTCTTTGTGTAATGGATGTATAGCATGCACTAAAATTTGCTTCCAAGTTTGAAGACGTTTCCCATCTATTCCCATTGAACTTTCTCCAAACACAAAATCCCATTTCAAGCCAAACAAGACCCTTAAACAGAGACTAGTGCATCCTAAAGACAAAGCTACCATAGCTAAGATGAGTTGAGTGCTGTATGCAGTTAAATGCAGTGAGGAATGCTCTGATCTTTATATTGGAGATACGAAACAACCTCTCCACAGATGCATGGCTCAACACAGATGAGCTACCTCTTGCAGACAAGACTCTGCTGACAAGGGACATTATTTTAAGGACCAGAATGTTTACATTTTGGACAAAGAAGCCAAGTGTTTTGAAAGGGGTGTTAAGGAAGCCATTTATGTTAAGAGAGAAAAAAACAACCTTAAACGGAGTGGGTGGACTCAGGTTGCAGCTTTTAAAAAACTTACAACACAGTGATAGAGTTGATTCCTTCCCGCTATCATCTCAACCCCCATCATCTGTTCAACCTGGCCAACAATTCCCCCCTAACAACCCCTCTTTCACAGGCATAGACCAGTATCAGGTATTGCAGGCTAACAAAGAACCCAAACGACTTCTCATTCCTAAGGGCCGGGCCCATTCTTCTTTTTCAATTTGCATGTTTTCTAAGCCAAAACAAGGTTTTGGGCTACTCTATAAAGCTTTGAACTCAACACTAATTCTAACTCTGCTAAACCAAAAGAGGGGAGATTTCGGGCTAATCGGTTGAAAAAAGTTAAAATCAGTCTCTTATCCAACATTCAGCCGGAACCTTTGCCTCTGCCTGCTGTGAGTGACATGAGGTATGACCCTCCCTCAAGGTGACCCGCCCTGTGTGGGGCGCAGAGATCACAGAGATTAGACTAAAGTCCTGCTCTGACAGCAACCACCGGCCCGAGGTTCCCATATACATCCATTCTGATGCACTCAGTTAACTTCAGCCAGCAGAGGGAAAGGTTGTTTGCCTCAACCTTTCACTTATTTAGAGACAAACCTGGGTTTATGTGGGACAGTTTAAATCTTTCTAAATTTTGTTTGTATCATTTTGCATGTCTTTATCTTTAATCTGTTAAATGACATTTTAAATAGATTGCAACACACATTTTAAAAAGAGACAGATGAAGTACAAATAAAGAGGCTATTAATTTCCATGTAATTAGATTCATAGTTTTCTAACCAGCAACTTACAAATTTGGCTCTGTTTGCTTTGTTTAAAAAAAGGTAGTAATACTGTCAGATCTATTTGCTGAGCAGCAGTCTGATAGTTAAAATACCATTACAGTGTTATTTTCATATTTTGACAGTCTAATATTGTTGATTTTCCCAAGAAAGAACATAAAAGAATAACATTTCAAAAACAGTATTACCACTTTTATGAAATGAATTGTAATATGTGCAATTATATTCATAAGTCATAAGTACCAGTTTCTATCCATCTTTCTCACATATTTACACCTATTTCATTGTATTTTGGAATAAGATGATGAGAAAATTTGCTTTTTATTGCACAAAGGATTTTAGGCTGCTTTATGCCTGCAGAATTTCTTGGCTTCAGGTTTACTTTATTGTTTGTAAGCACCCACAATCTCAATTATTGTTGAAAGTTTTTGTAAGTTTTACATAGGTGTGTTATTTTAGGCCATATGAAAGATAATTTTTTTCTTTTCTTTAGCCCCAGTTATCCTAAATGAGCTCAACTGGACACAAGCTCTGGAGCGAGTCTTCATTGAAAACCGGCGAGAGGACAGCTCTCTGCGCTGGCAGGTGTTTGGAAGTGCCACAGGGGTGACACGATACTACCCAGGTAAGCTCCACTACCATCAGATCAACAATCTGTTGTTTAACTAATGACAAAAAAAGTCTTGAGCTTTCAAGTCCTTAGCTGTACATCATCTTCCCAGCTTTCTCGCAGCTTAAAAGAGAGAAAATATTTAGGTTTGCTTTGCCTTAATCTTATGGAAGATGGCTGAAAATAAATGGATTATAACTAGTTTTGTCTCTCTCCTCAGCCACTCCTTGGAGGGCGCCCAATAAGATTGATCTGTATGACGTTCGCAGAAGACCATGGTAGGTCATGCTTCATTGAGTGTCTGGGTTTGTTGGTTCTGTTAAGGAGCATAGACCACCATATTTTTAGAAACGATCGATACAGTAAAGGTTTTTATGGTAGATCATACTCGGTGCCTTTACATGGATGTTGTCCAAAGCCAGAAAATCTGTCACATTCAAATTATGATTAAATGGATCAATCTTAAGCCAGATTCCATAAAAAAAATGGCTAGGACCTTTAAAGTTTGACTTAATGAGTACATTTTTCATATTAATATCATAATTATATGGTTCTTTTGTTTTGTTGTTTAAATTAACTGATATTCCTAAATATCTCTGGACTTTGTACAAGTTGTCTTGTACAAATGGAAACGGAAATGGGGCCTGTTTACACAGTTGTAGTCTTTTCGCTTCACTCTGTGTACTCCGACGCCGAGGTGCTAACGTCTCTGTTAAACACTTTAAAAAACTCTGAAAATGGAATACGAAAGGTGGATTCTTGATTCTCGACGTCGGAGTACACAGAGTGAAGCGAAAAGACTACAACTGTGTAAACAGGCCCCATTTCCGTTTCCGGTGGCAGGGGAATATTGACTATTCCAACAGAACTCAATGGGATTTACAAAATGCTAAATAAAACACTACAGGAACGTTTTTTCTTTACGAAACTTTTTTTGGAACGTCATTGAACAGCGCTGACGACCCGGTGAGTAGCATATTTTAAAAAAAGAACGTTTAAGGTTGTTTTAAGGACATTATCGGACATGCACAATGGAAGCCATTCTGAAGCAGCCAGGCGGGGATTCTGCATGAGCCAAAAAGCAGAGACAGGACCAATTGTCAAAATTTTGGTGTCGATCATTCGATTTCATCCTGGACACTACAGAAAATGGGCTAAAAGTGTTAAAAACCGGAATTCTCCTTTAACTTGACCTGAACCATATTCAAAATGTGTGGACAATCTCAGACACTCTGGGGGAGAAACACAGGTAAGTGACCACGATCAACTGATAGAAGATTAACTGTGTTGGTCACTTACCTGGTTTAACAGTCCAGACCATGAGTGTCCCCAGTGCTGCAGTCCCAGAGGTGATACTGGAAGCCGATCCTGGTGAGGGATCCAGAACAGACAGGAACAGACAGGATCAGGGGCAGACAGGCAGGCACAGTGGAAGAGGGTAGCCGAGACAGGACGTAGGAACCGGAACTTGAAGCAGGACTTTAAACTGGTCTCCTCCCTGGAGCCAGGCTTACTTTGATAAAAACTGAACCTCCCCCCACAGTGAGCCAAAAACAAAGAGGACTCCACGGGGGAGAAACAGTGGACGATCAGGAGATGAGACAAACACTAAAACTCTCTTTCCACTGGCAGCTAGGATCCAGGACATGAACCAAATAAAACTGAACAGAAAGACTGACAGAAAGACAAGCAATGATCTGGCACTGAATGCTCAGGCTGAATTGAATATAAACCAGAGGAAACAGGTGAGAGGGATAAATTATAATTGAGGCAGGGAGGGAAGAGGGCAGGTGAGAGGAGTTATTATTTAGGGAGGAGCAAACAGGCCAGATCATGACACCAAATTATTCTTAATGTGCGAATGTTAACTGGAATTATAGTTTGATTTCTCAAGAGTGTTTCAAATTTAGGATATTTTGCATTTAAGTGCTGCATAAATTAAACCACCTGCAGGACTGTGAGATCGTAAGACATAATATCAGAAACATTTTGTCATGCTTTTGTATTTTTCATAATCTTTGGTTTAAAATTAAGAATATTTAATGTGAGAAGAAATATTCTTTTAAACTTTTTAATTTGCTAAGGGACAAAATAACAGAAACACATACAGAAGATCCTTCTGGAAAAAAATGAGGCCGTCCACCCACTGTATCCTCCTCTCCTACCAACCTATGGGTTTCTGTCCACCCTATACACTTTTAATCTACCTGCAGCTGTCACATCGTTTTTGTGGCGCTCCTGCCTGTTGCCTGGTAACAGGTTGGAGTGGAGTGGACATAATCATGACAGCGGTGTTGATTAGACCTGACCCCATTTTCTATCTCGGTCTCCGGCCAGTTTAAATTGAGTGGCTGTTTGAGGTCAGGTCGAGCCGGCAGATGAAGTCAGAGAGCTCGTACAGAGCAAGCACACAATAGAAGCTTTCAATTCTGTTCTTGTTGTTTTCGTCTATCAATAAATAAAATACGTTTTGACATTAAACTAAACATTAAGATACATACATAAAACCTCATTATAACTATCAGCCACCTCAATGTCCATGACTCAACCAATCTAAGTGGTTATAAAAAAATTATAAAACACTTTTTTTCTAAGAAACAAATCTGATCAAACAGCTCTATAGCAGGTTCTTCAATAGGAAGGTTATTTCAGATGTGCTTTTCAGGAGTTTTATGCCCTAAAGTTTTTTTTGTACGTAAGAGGGGAAGAAGATTTCAAAAACCCTTTGGATCTAAAACTACTGGTGAAGGAATGGTAGGGATGAAACAGGTAAACGTTGCTCCTACTTTGTGTTGTTGTACGTTTTTTTGTGCTCTAGGAACTACTTCTGTCCCACCCCCATTTCTGTCTAATCTGAATGTATTCAACTGCGTTTTTGTCTATTGGGGGGCCTTCCTAAAAACCTGCCTTTCATCACATACAACACAAGAGTCATGAGATGTATTTCAAGCAGGTTTGCATTTCAAGGTCATAAAAAGATTATTTTGAGAGGCCAACTTATTGTTTTGATATATATACCTTATTATTGCTGGACATAGAATTCATTTTAAAAATAGTGATAAATAAAATAGGCTTTGGAGGTGAAAACTTATTAGATTTATTTATTTATCTCAGACATACGTGGTCTATTACATTTCAGACATTTTAAGGCCCCTCTGTCATTTTAAGCAAGGATTTTAAGTTATTCTCCTCATTCTGATGATAATAATCAGGTTACATCACTGAATATCAGTAAAAAAAAATATGTCAGTGACACTTTCTATTACCATGAAACTAACAAGGCTTCCTTCTGACAAATTAATTAGGTAAAAGCAGACAAATGTCTCCTCAGTGCTTCACTGTCACTTAAGACTTCCCCATAAACAAGCAAACTGCTGTAAACACAAACTGCTGCACAGAGGGACAAGTTTGAACATTAATCCTGTCTTTCATGTCAGCTCCATACCCAAACTACACCTGAGCTTAATTCCTGCACGTGTTTCTGCACCGGAGACAGGAAGGAACAATGAATAGGAAGGATGAGTGAGGCCCACTGAGCGGAAGCAAATTGTGTGACGAGGATAGACAGAGGAAGAGGGGAGGAAGATGGTCTGCAAAGTGACACCTTGTCACCTCCCCTGCCCTCCATGTTTGTCACTGTCATTTTGTTGAGCGTTTCCCCCATGTTGGACTCAGAGGTGCTCCTGTAGCCTGTTGCTTAGCAACTTGTGCCAAAGTGTAGCAGAGTGAAGTGGCGGGGTGTACGGAAGGGTGGGGTCATGATGTATCAGGTCAGGCTTGTGTGATTATAGTCTAACAGGCTGCCTACTTGACTGACTTTCAGTGTGGAGGTCCAACGGTTGCAGGGACAGTTGGTGGGGGTTAGAGGGGGCCATTATACGTGTCTAAGTGATATCTGGAGATTCTGGCATCCATCCATCTGAAAGACAGTTACATGAATCACATTTTTTAGTATTGCACAAGGCATCTTAGATATTAAAAAGAACAGATCTAAGCATCAGTAGAGCATAAATATCCCAACTCATTCTAGTTATATTCCAATTTAATAGCAAGGCTTATAAAATGAAACAAAAAAAAACATTTTTTCTTGTTTATTTATCTACTTATTTGATGCAACTTTGGATTCATAATGCAGATATTTTTTTCTCAAATTTTAGAAAAAATTTAACTTGTAACAATAAACTCAAAATAGCAGACAAATATGGGGAAATCTGTGTGTTTAAAGGGTAAAGGCTATTAACACTTTTTTTTACCTCTACCTTTGATATACATGCGGTGTGTAGAGGCGGTGCATATCCTTTCTTATAGGTGCATGATTTCCTTCTCACAATTTAAACATTTATCAGATCCATCTGGTGGTTATACGCTCCAAGCAGATTACTGCACATCTATTAGCTGGAACATCCTTCAGTAACATCTAGACTGAAACAGAGTCTAAGTAGAGTTTCTCAATCATAGCAGTGGTTTGGTTGGCTCAAGCAGTAATTAGTAATTGTTTGTTAGAAAATACATTTCTAATTTTAACTGTTTTTACTGGACTGTATCCTGTCTGAATAGCTTTTTTTCCCCCTTCTACTCATCCATCATCACCCTCAAGAAGATTAATGATCCAGTCATTGCCCCTAATTGTCACCAATTACTGTGATATTAAATATTAACATTTTTCTGTTTTATAGATGTTCTTTCCATTAAATGAAGCGAAGTTGAGGGTAAGGTTAGGCAGCAGAAGGAGAAAGGTAGAACTGAGAGAGAAATAACCAAAGAAAAGGCGCATAGTCCTGTTAGCCAAGCGTTGCAAAGATCCCATTACCTCCCAGGTTCACAACAGCATGTAGGCTATATCACATATTGATTTCTTCAAAAAGTCAATCTAACCTCGTCACAAATATTATGACTGCTGGACAGTCCCTGAAGCTGGGGCTGCCTAAAACAATATTCCCAACAACCAGAGCCGCCTCCTCCTATTGTTTTTTTTTTTTTTCCACGCCACTTCAGATAGACGTTGAGTCTGAGGACATCACTATTGTTATTGCTGAAGGTGACACAAGACTTTAACAGTTTTACCCAAAGATTAAATTGCATCATTGGCTGTAACTGTCTGTGAACGGTGTGCTTAAGAAATATTCGGAATATAAATGAGAAGAAGATTTTGAAATGGAGAACATGTTGCACATTTCCCGACATACTAAAATAGGGAAGTTTGAATGATGGCAGCAACACTTAAGAGTGATCAACAGAAAGTTGAATAAATAAGCGGCAGACAACATCTCCGTCTCCT